GGTTGCCAACCAGCAGACCAGGCTGCCCAGAGCCACATCCAGCCTGGACTTGAATACCTCCAGGGATGGGGTATCCACAGCCTCCTTGGGCAGGAGGGAACCTTTAAGGGAACAGCCAAGTAAAGAAAACAACATCAGAGTCCAGAGCAGAAGTCTCCAGAGCCAGGAGGATCAGCATTATAAACAAAGCATGCACAGCTTTCCAGCAGCTGCACTAAGTTCTACGAAAACATAAGAAACACAAAGGTGCACTGCCTGCTTCGCCTTCAGTCCCATGAAACTCCCCCACAGTTCTGATGCTTGACTGAACTTGCATCAGCACACTTTGAAGCAGCTGAAGGCATCGTTTGATCCCAAGCTTTATTTTCCAGACAAACAATGCAGGAAGATAACAGGCTTGTTGCCACCACAGCACTACAGAAGCTAACAGTTTCTCAGGAGAAACTAATCGCTGCATGTATTTGCCTTTCTCTGTGGGATATTTGCTCAGTTTACCCAACACATGCTAAAAAACACAAAGGAAGAAAGTGCAGAACGTAAACCTAGGGACATCAATACATCCCACATTTTTATGAGGCATTTTCATTCTCTCCTTTCTGTTCTGAGCTTCCCAGAAAGGAGCTAGAAAGAAAAAAGCTGCTATAAATAGCTAGGACATATACATGATATCAGGAAAATCAAACCAAATCTCATTTCCATGAGTTTTCAGGAGATTTAAAGTGGGATGCTTCAAAGGAAAGCAAACACCACACCTGGTCAACATGCAGCAGATTTTACAGCCTCCTCACTTTCTTGTTTCTGTGTATTTATATTAACCCACAGCAACAATGCCTAGATTCATATGTGACAGCCAATATAAAGCATTTCCAAAACACAGACAACACAATACCCCAAAGATCTGCAGCAAAATCAGAATTTCATCCATAGAATATCTCAAGTTAGAAGAGAGCCATAAGGACCCAGTGCAACACCTCCCTTTTCAGCTTTTCAGATCTTCTGTAAATGAGCCAAAGAGCTTAGTACACATCACCACCCCAAAGGATCCTTTTCAACGAGTCTCTCTCTACAAAAGCATCACCATATTTGTAAGCAAACATAAACAAAGGAAGTCCTGATGTCAGATACTCTCACTTTATTGGCACATCATTGGGAAAGGAGGCATTACCCATCTAGTCAATGAATTACTCAATCACATGTGAGAAACGTGAGCACGCTTGTTTGTTTACACACGCACAGAATGGCAAACTTCCTGTCCAATGCTCTCCCTCACACTCCAAATTTCTGCCCCCACAACCGGCAGATACCTCCAATTCCCTCACACCCCGTATTTCGGATATAAGGTAGTGATAACCCGTCAAGTAATACAGAACGCAGAGTAACACGCGCTCGCAGCGCTTGGAAAGAAGCGAGCGGAGCCTGACAGCCCGGGACGAGCCGCTGGATGTACACAGCGCTCTGCAAGAAGGAAGAGGGAAGGCATGAGGCCCGCCTCCCCCTACCCCAATGATGAGCTGGCACTGAGGGGATCCCGGCCGTGCAGGAGCAGAGCGGCCCGCCAGCCCCTGGCCGTGCAGCGCAGCTCAGCCCATCCCAGCCGCCCTGAGCACAACGCCCAGCAGCGCTCAAGGCCCGGGAGGACCGAGCGGCGGCCCGCCGAGCCCTAGGCCCAACTCCCGGCCCCGCTCCCGGCCCCGCAGGCCTGGCGCTCCCCAGCCGCTCCCCCAGGCCCCGTGAAGAGCTCAGCGCTGCGGCTGGGCCTCAGAGCAGCGCCGGACGATGCCCAGCCCCCGCCAGGCCCCCGAGGCCCGGCCCCGCCTCACCTTACAGCCGCCGCCGCTCGTCGCCCGCCCGCCGCCGCCACCTCCCCTCACGCCTCAGCGACGTCCGGAATACGTCACTTCCGGTCCCGCCCGACAGCGCCGCTCACACCGCCGGCGGGCGACCATAGAGAGGAGCGGTGAGAAAAGAGAGCGCAAGGCGCATGCGCGATGGCGCAAGGCTACTCAGCCTTGGTTTTAGAGGCGGGGGGGCTCTGCGCATGCGCCGAGCGCTGCAGGGAGCATGCGCAGTGTGCGCTCGGTGCCCTGAGTGGCTGCGGCGCTGCTACGTCACCGCCTCCATCGCACCTTTGGCAGTGCCAGATCGTAGAGTTGTGGAGTGATGTCGTAGAACGGCTTGGGTTGGACGGGATCCCCTCCGTGACCTTCACCGTGCGTGCTGTCACGCCTCCATCCCTGCTGTCATCTCCACTACCCCCCTGCCTCCCATCCTCCATCATCTCCATCACCTCCACGTGTTATTGTGGCTCCTGCCAGGGTGCAGAGCCTCAGAGGGCACACCAGGAGGAAGGCTCCTCTTAGGGGATGCACTGAGTCAAGCCTCACTGAGTCAGACACCCCCGCAATGAACAGGGGCATCTACAGCTAGGTCAGGATGCTCAGATCCTCATCCATCCCGACCCTGAGTGTCCCTAGGGTTGGAGCTTGGTGCTTTTTTCCAACCTTAATGGTTCTGTGATCCAGCACCCGCGAGGACAGCAAAGCTCCTATCAGTGTGAATGCTCAATTCAGTTCCCCCTAGGAAAAAAAAAAAAAACAACTAGATTCAACCAGAGCTTTGAGGACAGAGCTCTGATCCATGTTGCCCTCCCAGCGGAATGAGATGTGCAAAATGCAAGAAACTTTTGTGTTTATTAGGTTAGAAAACCTGGGCAGCTTTTACCTCTGTAAATGAATGCCTTTTTATGCAGGACACAGAAAACAGGTACTGATACAACATTTGCCAGCAGGATTTGCCCTGCAGTCCTCAAACCCTTCTTTTTATTATTCATAATGCATAAATCTATTAAAAAAAAAAAAAAAAAAAAAGCAGCATAATGCATAATCTGGAAGCCAGAAGTGTTTTCCCATGCCTCTTATTGCTCTGTGTCCCTTCTTTTCATTCATTTGGTATTTCCCTTGAGGCTTCTCATTAGGAGGCCAGCTAATTCCTTCACGTGCGAGCAGCACTACTTTTATAATGCATTTCTAGTAGTCAGGCTGCCCCCATTGTGCAAATGCTGGGGGATCCCCGCGTGAAGTCATTTCAGGGCACTCATCCCGAGGGATGTGGATGCCTGCAGCGAAGCATTGCGGAGATGGGAGCATCTCTATGCCTTCGACCCCACGAGGCTTGGCTCCCTCCTCACGCAGAGCTCTTGGTGGGGAAGCGCTTCTTCATCTGGAAGCACTCGCACTGCTTGTATTTCATGGTCAGCCCGTACTGAGGGGTGACGTCCACCTGCTGGCCTGGGGCCAGGCTGATCTCCAGCTGCTGCAGGATGGTGGTCAGGAAGAGGAAGACCTCCCAGCGCCCGATGGACTCCCCGATGCACCGCCTCTTCCCCAGGCCAAAGATCACCACCTTGTCACCCTCCGTCTTGTTGATTTCGGTGCCGGTTGCATTGAGGAAACGCTCAGGCTTGAAGGAGGAGGGATCCTTCCAGATCTTTCTGCAGCAGAAGGGAGAGACCTGAGCAAGGTGTTGTGGCCAGCGGCCAAAGAAAGGTTTCGTTTCCCCATCCTAAAGCAGCGGCCCTCTGCTGAGCCTCTGTTCCTGATCCGCAGTGCCAGCTGCACGTCAGCCCCTATCAGCTCAACCCACTGAAACCTCCACTTTGAACTCTCATTGTGTTTGCCTGCGCAGATACCAGGGTTGATTGAACTGGGCGCATAATTCCAGGATGTGTTTCAGCTGAAACAGGAGCACGGGAATCAGGCAGGAATCACAGAATGGCCAGGGTTGGAAAGGACCTCAAGGATCACGAATCTCCAACCCCC